GATTTTCTTGGAGAACAAAACTTGTATGGGCTCAGGTGGTCTTGCTCCAGCCATCCCAGCTCTTCTTATCTCTGCCAAGTTCCCTCAGACTTAATTTACCAAAGTGACCAAGTATGAGCCAGAAATTCAGTTCCCTCAGAAAACACCCATATGTGTACTAGCTGTTAGACACACACACTTTTCCCAGAAACCAGCAAGTGATGTAGGAAAATGATGGTTTTTTCCACTCTTGTTTAGAGCAGGAATTTTAACTGTCAATAAACCCATAGCAGGCACTGTACTCTGGGAGTTACTCCCCAGCCACCCATTCCTTTATGTCTTTGTGAATTTGAAAAAGCTGAAGGAAAATTTTAATTTGGCCTCTTATGCTGAAGGAAAATTTTAATTTGGCCTCTTAACATATGTGCTCTACCCAGGACCTGATGGTGAAGGATTTATTATAAATCTGCATGGATACATCTCTTCCTTTGGAGAGGCAACAGAGCCCTTTTGAGCTGTAAGAGAAACAAAGCAGAATAACAGACACTGTTTTGTGTGTAACCACTCAAAATGACCCAGAAAAGAGTCCTTTTACTCACAGCAGGTGAGGGACTAGCCTGTGATGTCATTGCAAACTGCTGTATCCAAAATTTCTCTGGCAACATCACAAAGTGAATACAGAGCCCAAAGACAAACATTTTCTCCCAATCAGCAGCAGTTGCTCAGTTCTGGAAGGCTTCCAAATTTAACCTTCATTCATTAGGAAAAAAAGCTCCAAAATAGACTGAGAATAGCCCAGGAAAAAGAGCAACAAACGTATCACATGCTGAAAGGACAAAAGGTGTAAGAAACTAAATAGGCAGAGAGAAAGCAAGAGGCTTCAGGTACTATATGAAGCTGAACGGAGTTAAAAAATAAAAAAAAAATTGCAGGACAATCAGATGGAAATTTTTCACTCCTTTTCTTGGCTGTGGATCAGAACCCAGGTGAAGAAACTTTGTGAAGTCAAAGGTTACTAAGTATCATGTAATTTCTTGGAACTGTTGTATGAAAGTAGGATATGGTTCTATACTCTGCTATAAATCATCAGGAACTACTGGATTTAACTTATGACTTAGTATAACAGATCAAGATAAATGATTGGAGCTGATCATCCTGGTACTGAAATCCATGAAGCAAGCTCCTCTATGTCTTGATTCAAAGCTGCTCAGGTGGTAGATACACAAATCAAAGCCTTTGGCAGCAATATGAGACCTGTAGCAGCATGACTGGACTGTGAGGCAGATGAGGGAATTAATCCAGATTAAATATACTAGTGCCAAGGAGAAAAAAAAAGCACTTTAAATTATTTTTTTTAACATGTTTTTTTGCAAAGCCCAATTTACACATCTCAGGGCAGGATACAGAATATGATAGCATAGAAAGAAGTAGTAAGGAAAGCAGCAATGTCTTAGATTGAGATTGCCCGCAAAGACTTTACCTCATGAAAGCACAGCCTGAGAACACAGCTGCTATACCAAAACACAAACACAGACCTGGCTTTCAAGTGGCCATTAAAGCCAATATGATGGTGATTGAGAGTATAGCATCATATTTTTGTTCCTTTCCTGGAAAGCAGAAGTTTTACTGTTTGTTTTTTTCCTTCAGATGCCTCCTAGTAGTCAGATATCTTAAAGCTTCCAATGACACCAATCTAGTGGCAACCAAAGTACTATTATCAGGGTCCAGAAAGCAATAAAAGGACTTTAACAGCTCTGACCAGCCCCACCTGGGACTCCTACCCATGCTCTCTGACCATTGGCCAGAGGGCTCCATTTAAGCTCAGCCCTCAGTTACCAGTTCCTGTCTGAGCTGTGCTGTAGATGTGCCTGCCTGCCTCCTGGATGGACTTTGGGCCTCTGCTGTATGTGGCTTCCCTGCTGGTGGGCTTCCTCACATGTGCTGTAGCTTGTTTCTCACCTTGCCTCCTGGATGGAATGTGAATGCATGTTGTGAGTTTGTTTCTGGGCCTGTCTATTGCTGCTCCAGATTTTTCCCTGGTCCATCCCCCTGTTGTTTCAAGCTGACAAAGGACTGTGGTACCCTCCTTGGTCTGCCTACTGTGCTCAGGGTGGTGCCTGTCTCAGTAAGGGCACAACCTGGGCTGAGGTAACACTCAGCTTATAGTTCTTCAACCATTGAAGAGTGACTGGTCCTTACTGTTCCCTGACAATTGCTACTAACTCCTCATAACTCTGCCCCTGATTTCTAAAGCACAGAAAAATATCAGTGTAGTTCTCCATAATCTTTACTTCTCTGACTGTGTTCTCTGCCTTCACACAATCATTTCTGTGTTCCAGTGAGATCCAGTGTGTCCTCAGGCTTTGCATTTGGTAAAGAGCACAATTTTCCAGTTTTTTGGACCCACTTTTGGGAGAGAGTAGACTTCAGCAGTGAATGACAGGTCAGGGACATGCTTGCTTTCTTTATGTTGGTGTTGAGTGCAGCTCTCATGTTCTCTCTTCCCTAAGTAGATATCCCATTTCCTATTTTATCTGACCGCTTCCAGTATTTCTTTCTTTTTCCTTCCTGTACTTTGGTCTCTGCCTGCCTCTGCTATCTCATCCTCTCTAACAGAACAAATTGTCTTGTTACTTCCAGCCACCTCACTTACCCTTATTCACCTCATACTTAAGTGTAACAGGTCTCTTCCCCAGCTCAATTTCTCCTGCTCTAACCAGTCCTTCTGCAGTGGCCACTTACATCCATGAATCACCTTGACTGTGTCCTACTTAATCTGTTTTTCTCTGCTCTCTTCCTCTAACTCTTCTGTACTTCATGATGCACTCTCCTCCTTAGCTCTTTTCACTTATGAATACTGTCTGAGATTTTTTCCATGAAAAAAATCTTCCTTGAGCTACCCATCCACAGATAACAAATGGCAGACTTATTTTATCTTTTACCTTTGCCCCAATAGCCTTCAATTCTCTTTTCTTTCTTCTTAAATCTCTAAAAAAATAAGTTAGTTCTCAGACATAGCACTTTCCAAGAAGTTTAATGTCAACTCCACTGTTTACTTCTGCCTGCTCAGTGGTTCTCCTGCCTCTTGGCTGCTTGGCTTTCCAACCCTTTTGTCTAAGCCAGTCATCTTTCTACATATATTTGGTAAACTGTTCAGTAGCAGAGATCACAGACGGGCTTCCTTTATGCCTCTGTCCTACTCACAACATGCCATTCCTAGGTAGTTTCCACAAACTAGTTTGCAACAAACCAGTGAGCAAGCTAACACATCTACTTATCTCCAAAGAACTGGACTCTCCCTTTCTCTCTGAATTTTCCTATTTACTTTCTGAATAATTGTTCAGGAGTGTTCACACCATCTGTGCTGTGTACTGTAAGCACGGGGTCCTGTGGAATAATGAATATTTGATCATGCCATTCAAGGTTGACACAAGGTTGCTTGGTTTATTTCTACTCTTTCTCAACTGTAAAATTGCACCATTTCTTTAATGTATATTTTTTTATATATATAGTGAATGTACAATTTTTTTTATATTTCTCTAAAAAACCCACTGGGCCAATTTACAAATTGCACATTGAAATACAACAGCATTTTCTTAGGAAATGACTGAATCCAAAGTTTTGTGTTGGCTCCATTCTGGAATGAGCTGTAAAATTCAGACAGCCTGAAGTTTGGGGACATCAAAATCTATGGTTCTTGGTCAGGTTTATGTTATCTTCCTTATTTTCTCTGTTCTATGGCTTCTGAAAAGCAGTCAGTGTCTCCTGACACTGGAGGGAATTTATAAAGCTGAAGAACCCGACCCAAACGGGGAGAAGTTTGACATTGTCGCTTATTGTGGTCTTTGCCTCTATAATTTGTCATCTGATTTAGGGCTTTGAACATGCATGCCTTTCTTGTACAAAGGTCTGGAGAAGCATCACATAAGGTGCCACATGCTGTATCCTCCTGAGGTTTACTGGTGCTGAGCTCTGACAGAAATGCATACCCTGAAGTCTGTGCTCAGTCTTCCATGAGGAGGCAGCCAACCGCTCTGTGCAGCAGCAGGTCTGCCAGCTGGCCGGAGAGGGGCAATGGCATCAGCTGCAGCCTGGCCCCTCCGTGAGCTACATGACATATCTGGTCTGGGAGGATTAGAAACCAGGGGAGCGGAGAGCAAATTGCTGCGGGGAGATGGGTTTGGGGGCAGGGGAGAGCATTCATGCAACTGCTCTTTTGAACGTTGGTCTCTTGATCCCAAGCTACCTGCTACATGAGATGGGGGAGGAGGGACTGCAAAGGGAGAGCATGACTTTCAGGAAAGACTATGGAGAAACAAAACTCACATTAGTGGTGAGATTAAAGGATTAGATTCAATTCACACCCCAGTCAAAATGAAATCTCAGCCTCTGCTTTCTGTGGAACGTGCAGTGGGCTGGAGCTGTGAGGGTGATGTTATAGACCTTGGCATCCTCAACAGTGCATGGAGGGAGAGGGGTCTAGTCCCTGATTTCTGTACATTTCCTGCTCTACTACAAGGGTCATCTTGCATCTGAAATATCACTAATGAGCAGCTTCTCTTGTCAAATAAGACAGGGTACAACACCCTCTGTTAGGCTGTGCTCTTCTGTGGCACAACTCTGCTAGGCAATTTGGTGTTGCCTGGAGGTGACTACCTGCTCAGGCTCATTGCATGCTCTTACCCTAACCTTGTAAATCAAAACAAGTTGTGGTAGCTTACCCAATTTAAATAGTCTCAAGGCTGCTCATCAATATAGTAGTAAAATAGCCAGTTGTGGAGTTAAAAAGAAATTTTTTGCCACATACATTTAAACTGGAAGATAGAGGAACAATCTACATCACTAGTGACTGTGTGAAGAGGTAAAACCATGTATTTCAGCTCCAGGCTCTGTGGGTTTCCTAAGAGTGCCAGGCAGCTACGTGGGAGTTGTGCAGAAGTCCCATCTCCTCATGAGGCTGGTGGATGCTCCACCATGTTCTTGCTTGTAGCTATTTGAATGTGTTCTCTTTTTCCTGACAGGTCCATGGGAAGTGTGTATGTAGACACAACACAGCAGGGGACCACTGTGAGAAATGTGCACCCCTATACAATGATCAGCCTTGGAAGCCAGGAGATGGAAAAACAGGGGCACCAAATGAATGCAGAAGTAAGTGAGAGGGAGTTTACTGATCCAGGCTTTCTGGATGAACACCTACCCTGCCAGCAGGCAAAGTTCACTAACAAGGACTTCTGTGGATTTACACTAATTTACAGAAGCTAATTACACTAATTTACAGAAACTGAGGAAATGTTGCTGGTCATTGACGGAAAACTTCAGCATGTGTGTTGTTTTACTGCAGCTGACCCATTTGGGCTATTGGAAAGTGAAATTTACAAGGCAGAAATTTGTTCTTCATGCACCTACATCCCCTCAGGTGTCCTAGCATCCTACGGTTTTGTGCAGGGTTTATGATACCATCAGGCTGGTTTTTCTCCATCTAAGGATACCACACAGCTCACAGCCACCCAAGCTTATCAGACCCTGTTTGGACTTGCACTCTGTTGCAGTTTCTAGTTTTTTATGAAAACCAGGGATTTTGGGCAGACAAAATGTGTTTCAGATGTCTCCTCCATGGTTTGCAGCAGGAAAATGAGGCCATTTGAGTAATACTGTTGTGTCTATTACATAAGCCTGAAATGCATTCTCCCATTTCCCACCAGAGTGTCGCTGTCACAACCATGCTGACAGCTGCCATTTTGACCTGAGTGCCTGGCTGGCATCAGGAAAGAGCAGTGGTGGAGTCTGTGACAACTGCAAGCACAACACGGAGGGACATCGGTGTCAGAGGTGCAAACCGGGGTATTACCGAGACCATGGGAAGCCCATGTCTTCTCCTGAGGTCTGCAAACGTAAGTGACTTCTTGAGGTGAAGACAAATGGTAGAATAATCATTAAAATAATGATTAAATTAAAGGAATCAGTGGCTCCTATAGAAGTAACTAGTAAGTATTAGTATCCTTTCTTTGCATCCTGTTCCTAAACTGCAGTTTCTTGATCAAAGGTCACCTTCCTGATTTTCTGTGTCTATTTCTCCCCCAGTATCACACGTTTGTTCTGCTGTAACTGCTTCAGTTCTCCAAATGCTTTGCATTTTGGGGAAAGGTACATTTTCTTGTGCTTGCATTCAAAATAACATAGTTTGTTTTTCTTGAGGCACATTTTAATTAGCTGGGTTTTTTCTGCATTTCTCAAGACTGCACCTATGTGTGCACTATTGTTAAATTCCATTTGATTGTGCAACATCTGTGCACATATATATAATAATGCTTGTAGGAGGTGTAGAAAACATGAGAATATGTGTATCCACTTGGGAACAAAGACATCAGAGCTCACTCAGACTTATCTCTGGATTATACAGCTGTATTATGGGGTGCTGTGCCCAATAGCTCGTTAACACTTCAGAAGGATGTGTTAGGAAGAAATTCAGTCACAGAGGCACTAATGTGGATGTACAGTCTCTGAAACAAGGCAGTTTGCACCCATCCAGTCTGGAATATAGCCCAAATCTCCCTTAATGTAAACATTTCCTAAGTATCCTGCCAAGCTTCACACATCTTATTCCATCTGGCATTTATTTGGGAGGTTGCTATTTTCAGCAATATACATAATTTCATTTTTCTCTTTCAACAGTTTTCCTTCCCCATAGCTCAGAGATCAGTTCCCAGCACAGAGAACTTCATCCTCTGTCATCTGTCATCTCTGGCATCACGTGCTTTTGAAGCTTTCCTCACCCTTTGATGGTCTTCATCAAGATTCCTCTTTAAAAACTTGGGTTACAAACAATCCTCTCTCTAGAGCTGTATGGACTTTTATATTGTTTAAACTTTTTTGCAACACATCCTACAGTTCTGCTTTTTTGTATTCTTTCCATTGGATCTTAGTGCCAGCACAGCTTCCACCCCCCCCTTCTTTTCAGTTTCATAACACTCATCAGAGAACACTACCAGCAGACTGGGCTGAGGGTGAGCTTATCTAACTCACCCTGTGTTCCCTGGTGACCTCTTTCTATTCCTGTTTCTACTCCGAGCAGATTTGCTACAGGGAAATATTGTAAAGAGAATTAATTGTGCCAGGAGATTAGTTTTTGATCTCACAGTACCTGAAAGAATCTATGTATGAACTCTTGTATTAAACAGCAGGGTGATGCTGCAGTAACCAGCATCAGGTGTAATACTAGATAACTGCCCAAGTCAAGGAGCACTGGAGAGCAGCAAAGGGGGAAAACAGTGTTTGAAAATACAGCCTATCTGTGTGGAAACCCTAGAACAGTCTGCCTGGAAATCAAACCTTGACTCTACCTCTGCCTCTTTTGTCTGGTCTGGTTACAGGCCTCTCAGTACCTCCTGCCAATACTCTGCATAGCAAAAGAGTAGCTGTTCAGAAATTTACCTTGTTGAAAGCGCTTTATTCCTATCCTGCCAATCAAGCACAACAATGTTCTTTTCACCCAGTAACATGCTGCTGCCAGCAAGAAGGCCCCCAAATGCAATTGTTTCCACACTGACTTGCATGCTCAGGCCCAGATACCTGCCATCCTGCTTATATACCATCCAGGTGGTGTCTTCTCAGGGCTCCCTGTACAGTCAGTGCAGAAACAGTGGGGATGATTTATTGCAGTCTAACATAGATGTCTGAGATAGATGAGCTGAATTGCCCTGTAGATGATACCTGTTTCTTTTCCTTGACTTGTGGTATTCTGGATCACCAGCCTGCACTAGAGTTTCTGTTGGGTGAGATATATCTAACGGGTTTGATTTGGCATTATTGCAAACAGACCCTGTCTGTGCATGATTCAAGTCAGTGGGATGTCTCCCAGG